TGAAAGGCGTTTGACAGTGTAGATAGAAGAACATTATGGAAACTTCTTCGACACTATGGAGTTCCTGAGAAGATTGTCAACATTATCCGGAACTCATACTACGGACAACAGTGCAAAGTCATGCACGAAGGACAGATGACAAATGTATTGCAAGTGAGGACCGGAATCAGACAAGACTATCTACTCTCTCCCTTCCTCTTTCTTCTAGAAATATACTTACTTACTTACTTACTTACTTACTTACTTACTTACGCCTGTTACTTCTCGTGAAGGAGCATAGGTCGCTCACCAGCATTTTCCATCCAACTCTATCCTGGGCAGTACTTTCCAGTTCTTTCCAGTTGTCGTTCATCCTTTTTATATCTGCTTCTTTTTCCTGACGTAATGTGTTCTTCGATCTTCCTCTTTTCCGCTTCCCTTCAGGATTCCAAGTTAGCGCTTGTCTCGTAATGCAGTTTGATGATTTCCTCAATGTATGTCCTATCCATTTCCATCGTCTTTTCCTAATTTCCTCTTCAGCTGGAAGCTGGTTGGTTCTCTCCTACAAAAGGCTGTTGCTGATGGTATCCGGCCAATCGATGTTGAGTATCATGAGTAGACAGCTATTGATAAATACCTGTACCTTCTTGATGGTGGTTGTTGTAGTTCTCCAAGTTTCAGCTCCGTACAGTAGAACTGCCTTGACGTTCGTATTGAAGATTCTGACTTTGATATTGGTTGAAAGTTGTTTTGAGTTCCATATGTTCTTCAGTTGAAGAAATGCCACTCTAGCTTTGCCAATCCTTGCCTTGACGTCTGCATCTGAACCTCCTTGTTTATCTATGATGCTTCCCAGGTATGTGAAGGATTCCACATCTTCCAGAGTTTCGCCATCAAGAGTGATTGGATTGCTGTTCTCCGTGTTGTGTTTGAGGACCTTGGTTTTCCCCTTGTGTATGTTGAGGCCTACTGATGCAGAGACTGCTGCTACTCTGGCTGTCTTTATCTGCATTTGTTCGTGTGTATGTGATAGGAGGGCTAGGTCATCTGCGAAGTCCGAGTCGTCTAATTGGTTCTGAGCTGTCCATTGCATGCCGTGTTTTCCCTCAGATGTCGAGGTCTTCATAATCCAGTCGACCACCAGAAGAAAGAGGAAGGGAGAGAGTAGACAGCCTTGTCTTACTCCGGTTCTTACTTGGAATGCATCTGTCAGCTGTCCTCCATGCACTACTTTGCAGTGTAGTCCGTCGTATGAGTTCCGGATAATGTTGACAATCTTCTCAGGAACTCCGTAGTGTCGAAGAAGTTTCCATAACGTCCTCCTATCTACACTGTCAAATGCCTTCTCATAATCAATGAAGTAGATGTAGAGTGACGAGTTCCACTCAATTGATTGTTCGACGATGATCCGTAGTGTCGCAATCTGGTCTGTGCACGACCGGTCCTTACGGAATCCAGCTTGTTGATCTCGAAGTTGAGCGTCTACTGCGTCTTTCATCCTGTTCAGTAACATTCTGTTGAAGACTTTTCCTGGTATTGACAGTAGTGTAATGCCTCTGTAGTTTTCACACTTGCTCAGATCTCCTTTCTTTGGAATCTTGATGAGGTGTCCTTCTTTCCAATCCATCGGCACTTGTTCCTCCTCCCAAATCTTCTTGAATAGAAGATGAAACATGCTTGTAGTTACTTCGATGTCTGACTTCAACGTTTCAGCTGGTATATTGTCAGGTCCTGCTGCTTTCCCGCTCTTGATTTGTCTGATGGCCATTCTGATTTCTTCTGTCGTTGGTGGATTGACATCTATAGGAAGATCTGTGTGTGCTGCTCCGATGTCCGGTGGATTCATTGGAGCCGGCCTGTTCAGGAGTTCCTCGAAGTACTCTGCCCATCTGTTGCGCTGTTGTTGAATCTCAGTGATTGGTCTTCCTTCTTTGTCTTTGACTGGTCTCTCTGGTTTACTGTATTTCCCTGCAAGCTTCTTCGTCGTATCGTAAAGCTGTCTCATATTTCCTTCTCTTGCAGCTTTTTCCGCCGTCGTTGCTAGTTCTTCCACGTATTTTTGCTTATCAGCTCTAATGCTCTTCTTCACTTTATTGTTTGCTTCTATGTACTCAGCTTGTGCTTGGACTTTCTCTGCTCTTGTTCGACTGTTGTTAATTGCTGTCTTCTTGTTCTTTCTTTCTTTGATCCTGTCCAGTGTTTCTATAGAGATCCATTCCTTGTGATGATGCTTCTTGGGGCCCAGAACCTCTTGACACGTTGAAGTTAATGTTTCTTTGATGCCTTTCCAGCTATCCTCCATAGTAGTTTCTTCTTCCTTCAGTAGGTCCTGTAAGGCTTGGAACCTGTTGTTGAGAGCTACCTTGAATTCATTGAGTTTGTCAGTATCTCGAAGGAAGGCTGTATTGAACCTTTGTGGTGCTGTTTGTCCAGTTGTTCAGTTCTTGTTTAGCTTCAGTTTCAATTTGGCCACAACCAAGTGATGATCTGAAGCTATGTCCGCTCCTCTCCTGATTTTCACATCTTCCATTGTCCTTCGGAACTTTTTATTGATGCAAATGTGATCTATCTGGTTCTCTGTGGTGTGGTCCGGTGAGATCCATGTAGCTTGTGTATACGTTTGTGTGGAAATATTGTACCGCCTATGACCAATTTATTGAATGCACTTAGATTTGCAAATCTTTCCCCGTTTTCGTTTCTCTCTCCCAGTCCATGTAGTCCCATGATGTCTTCATATCCGGTGTTGTCTATTCCGACTTTGGCGTTTAGATCTCCCATCAGAGTGGTGAGGTCCTTTCTTGGGCACTTCTCTATGATTGATTGCAGCCTCCATAGAATTGATCTTTAACGTCGTCGTTGCTATCATTTGCGGGTGCATAACATTGGATAATGTTCATTGTGATCCCCTCCTTCTTTGTTTTGAATGATGCTTTGATGATTCTGGATCCATGAGATTCCCATCCTACAAGTGCATTTCGTGCTACTTTGGACAGCATTAGAGCAACTCCCTGAGTGTGTGGAGCATTTTCCTCTTTGTGACCGGAGTATAGCAGCATCTCTCCCGTATTTAGCCTTTGTTGTCCAGCTTGGGTCCAATGGGTTTCGCTGATTCGCAGTACTGCCAAGTTGTATCTCCTCATTTCCGCTGTTATTTGACTGGTCTTCCCGGTCTCCCACATTGTCCGGACGTTCCATGTACCTATAAAAATTGTTGCTCTGGTTGTTAGAAGGGGCATCGGCCTCGTGGCTTCCGAAGGAACTCGGCTTTCACCATGAAGCGTCATATTACCTCTAACTCCCAGGGCAGAGTTTAAATGGTTTGAGTTATTTTTTCTGGTTAGCGTTTTTTTAGCGAGTTAGTTTTCTACGGGATGGGGACGCTAACCCCATGCCCAACCCTCCTCCTTTATCCGGGCTTGGGACCGGCAGTAACCCCCCGAAAGGGACTCCAGGCGGAGTTTTCTAGAAATATATTTTAGAATTATTCACACCAAATACAATGATAAACGTACGATTAATGAAAATGGTCAATACGAAAGTTTTGTAATGAAATTGATCATTCTAGTTGTAATAAAACATGTAAAATTTTGTTAATGAGAATTCAATTCCAGGTTTTCCATGGTGGCATAGCTTCAATCGACTGATGATCTCAACTATTGAAAAGAATATTCTTTGTTCACATATTCGTATTTTAATACGATTGGCATTTTAAATTATTTAAAATATTTATATACTGAATCGATGTTGTAAATCCATTTTATTTAAATGTCATTTCATGAACTAAGGCTAATTTTAGTTACCGCATAATTATAATTGGGAAAAACATATTCACTCATATAATTTCTTCTCATTCTATCTCATATTTTGCTGAACAGTCAAGGTCCAACCCAGAGTTTTTCAGTCTTTTATGAATATTACAAAACCGTAGAATAAAATTAGCTATAAAGATGTGAGTTGACTAGAATCTATCTGAATATGACGCATGTCGGATTTATGTTAGACTAATATAAGTAAGTAAGATAACTCTAATGATCATTAACAACTTTAAGAAACATCAAATAAATGTCCGTAATATAGACAAAATTTAAATGGAACAATCTACACAAACTTCATATTTAATAATGGGTATTATTTTTTAGAAAAATGAAAGTACTGTCTTAATGTTAAAAGTGTAAATGTTCTATCAACGATTACTGTTGTGAAGAAAGTTTTAAACAAAGTGGAATCGTTTTAACAAACAAACAAACTATATCTATCCATTTGACCAGTTAAGTGTATGACCTGTAAAGATTGACTTATCAGTTCTGCTACTGATACATGAAACATGTTACATGTCGAGAATTTCATATTGGATAAAAACGAAATCAGATTACATTAACTTATATTGTTATTTAGATCTTCTCAACGATATATAGTAGTGCAATTGATCAGTCACTTTTTGGCATATGTTTATCTTATATGAATTGATTCGATATTCCAAATGATTCGTTAATACTATACACTAATATCTTAGTATGTTTGTTTTTTTCTTTTTTCATTATTAAATGTTAAATGAAATAGAATGTAGAAAAATATCAATATAACTACTATGAATTAAAGTGAAGTTAAATATCTCTACTATAATTCTCTTTAAAAATGTATATTGTACATAAAGTATAGAAGTGCTTAATGTAAATTAAACTTACACTATACTTTTTTTCTATACCTATGACGACAAATAAACAGGGAAAGATTTACATAAATTAATCTAAAATCAATTTTTAATTAAAATATGAACAAATCATATGCTTATACATTTGAAAATATTAAAGCTTCTATTAGATTTCAAAATTAGAACCACGATGTTAGTGTGTGGTCATTTTCTTTGTAAACATTGTAAATATGAAATATGATAGAACGAATTCCGTTTTCACTTTTTTTCTTTTTGTAATAGAAACTTATGCATAAAACTACAACTAAGAAATACAAATGTCATGCTCTAACGAAAATCTTTACTTCTTATTGAAGAGTCGAATAAAGTTTCAAGGAAAAATTTGAGTAAGAAAAAATGTTTTTTTTGTAGATTTTGTTGAATTGATTGAAATTGAAATATTATTGATACAAAAATAAGTTGGGGATAAAATATTAAAATTATAAATAGTAGATCCAATTGATTTATATTCTGATGATATTGTGTTCTGTGAATGAAATGTTTTAGATGTATATGATTCGTTATTATTCTGGACAATACCATCTGATACTGATAAATATGAATCGGACTGAAGAAATGTAAATACTCCGTATTTTGGTAATTCCAAAATTCTCAAAAATTTCTTAAAACTTGGCATTCATATGACATTTAGCACATTATGATCTCAACAACATAGATCCAATCTATCATTATATACTGATAAAGGTCAGTCTATCACATGGGAAGAAGTTAAACAAAAACAAGATAGTCAACATAAATACAAGAGAAAAAGAAGAAAACACAGCCTAAGAAGACATTCAATCATAAATAAGGGCATTAAAACAAACTTAACTTTCGTGAAATAAATGTAAAGTTAACTTCTCCGTGATCTAGGCTCTGATGATAATGTTTAAAACAATTAAAGATATCTTCAATGATTAGGATCATGAGTCAGTTGAAGCTAGACCACCATGGAAAACCTGGAAGCACTGGACGGCCGTTTCGTCCTATTATGGGACTCCTCAGCAGTGCGCATCCACGACCTCGCCCCCTGAGAGATTCGAACCCAGGAGTTCAACCAGGTCTGTTGTGGGATAGTAACTCACTGAAGACAATGGTGGATGTGTCGCTCGATTTCGTGGATTAGTTGAAGTTAGACATTAACACCGTTGGATGCCGGCTCAGTGGTCTAGTGGTTAAGTGCTCGCGCGCGAAACCAGTAGGTCCTGGGTTCGAATCTCGCAGGGGGCGAGGTCGTGGATGCGCACTGCTGAGGAGTCCCATAATAGGACGAAACGGCCGTCCAGTGCTTCCAGGTTTTCCATGGTGGTCTAGCTTCAACTGACTCATGATCTTAATCATTGAAAATTACTACAATCTCCACAAAACCCCTTCTGATAATAATTAAAGATATCGTTGGATTTATTGGGCGCAGCATCATCAAAGCATCAACACGAGCTGTAGTTTGCATGATTTTTTCAGAAACTTGTGATTAATTGAATTTTTGATGTTTGAAACAAGTTTGGGAGTTCTCTGTTATAAGAACAAATAAAATAGAATCCAAGATTCTTAAAATGTGACGAGAATTAAGAATAATAAATTATGTCGACTTTTTAAACAACGTAGAAATGAACGCTAGTCCAATAAAGTATAAAATAAAAAAGAATACAACGAATTCGGATTATTATGGTAATCGCTCTAATAATTCTTTACTGCTGATATACAGGTTACATGCAGTTCATTCGCAAACAGCGCTAACTCAAGCTAATTAAAACATGAGTTCATTTCAGCTACATTTATTTAGCGAAAATGTGTACAATGTGTGAAATGTAAAGAATGGATGTGCGTAGAAACTAACCAGTTAGTCTCCTTTTTGTAAAAAAAAGCTAAAAATACTTGTAGATTAGTACTGATGTTAATACACTCATATTAATCTGAGCATAAATTTTAATGAAACAAATGGTATATTAGTAGCGCACTATGCGCATACCTTATTAAAAACAACTGAGACCATGTATATTATTCATATTCTTTTTAAATTAACTCGATTTCCTGAAAAATCAACCTGTAGGATGTGTAAAGAACTTTTGATAAACTAAACAGAAGTTTTCAATTAAATAATGAGATCAGAGTAACTGTAAAAAACTAATTGAAAATCATCGTAGCATACGTCATTATTTTGGTGGAGTTTTGCTCTCTGAGCTGGATGGTTTGGTCGTGGAGCATTCATCGTTATTCTGAACGACATTATTAGCATAAACTTTATATGCAAGCGAAGTGTTTGAATTTCTCCCCATTTGACTGTCAGATTATCCTGAAGATTTCGATACTGATTGGTTATTGTTGACCTTTAACCTTACTTCTTTATTTTGGTTGTATCGCCAACTGAGAGAGACCTCTTTGAAACTTTCTAAATGTTACAAGAGAGCTTCAAAATATGACCCTTCAAAGGAAATCAAGGATAAAAATAAGCCCATCAAATAAAAACACATTACATCCGATATTTTATCAAACAACTGTGTAAAAGCCACAAAATAAGCTATTATCTCTTACCAACATTAAAATACTTTACAATGTTCATTGTAAGTTAAATTCGGTGGTGTAGTTTCGCCATAAAGATGAATCATGAGAAAGTGAGGTGGATTAGAACTTCAAAAGGTAGTATATATAAAACCCTATCCAGATAATACCAATAGAGACCACAAAACTTTAAACATGTTTTAAAGCCAAAAGATTTCTAATTAAAGCTGAAACATAAAACATTTAATTTCCATATATAATCAAACAGTCAATTAGCAGTTAGGACTAAAATGATTATCATTTACGTTATGAAAACCCACCCATTCTTTCAATTTTTTTGAGATCATGAACATGACATTAGACCAACATTAAAAACCCGGAAGCACTGGACAGCCGTTTTTCCCTGTTGTGGGATTCGTCGGCAGTGCGCATCCACGATCCTGTTTGTGGGGTTCGAATCCAGGGCTTTCGGTATCGCGTGCGAACGCTTAACCTCTAAACTATTGATTCGGGCTCGAATCCTACGAGTGGGATTATGGATGCACACTGTTAGGGAGTTCCACAATAGGACGAAATGGCCACCCAATGTTTACAGGTTTTCGATTGTGGTCTAACATCATTTGGTTCATGATCTCAATCATAAATTTAATAATCTCCACAACCCCCTACTGATCATTCTTTTAATGTTTGTTTTTTCTTATTTAAACCACACAATATCAAGATAAATTATCAAAAGTCGAAATTGTTACGAAATTTGTTTTGAAGCAATTATGTATTTTTCTTTTTTCCAATCTCTTTTCCTAGAATTAATTTCTTTTTTTATCAAAATGTCAAGTAAACCATATGAAAGTAACGCTTCATTGAAAGTAATAATTATTTTCAGATTTATTTTTATACAAAAAAAAAGTAAATAATTAAAAATAAATTACGCCTACATAACATAAATCAGAAACTAAGTGTGTATTAGATTTTGATTAAATAAAATTTAGTCAAGTTTACTTGGCAATCAGTATAAATAAAGAAACGGAACAATAAAAGTGGGTAAATAAAGCATATAAAGATTAATGAGCATATTGTACACTTACATATCATTTCCTTTCCTTTTTCAGTGAACTTTCATTTGATTATGTAATTGGGTATATACAGTTGATTGAAGGATATAAAAAACTGATTGAAATATTGGCAATGTATCATATATGATGAGAATAAAGTAACTGGTTGCCGGAAATACTCTAAAACAAATAAAATTCTCTCTAACCTAATAAACTTTTAAAATTTAAACCTTATAATATTTTGGATTATTTCATTGCCGCTCTGTTTAACCCATTCAGAGACGTGAATACTTGGTAAAAATAGATATTATTGTTAGATGGGGGTTGTGAAAATAGTAGAATCATGGGAAGATCATTGATGACTTAAAAACACTGAAAGAATCTTTAATCTCCATAAGGCTTTACTCAGAACTGTGCCTCTACGAGAGTCAAACCTAGGGACTTTGATCTCTCGCGCCATTGATTGTATTTCACAAATACCAAATCGGGAATTTTTTTGCATTTTGGAAGAATTAGCATCTATCCTGACTTGTATAGAAGTCATTTGAATTTCACAGCAGTACAACTTTGATTATTAACCACTGGTATCTATACGCTTAGATAATAAATTTTAACAAATATTCTCTCCTAACTTGTATATCCATATATTCTTTCATCATATATACACGTTTACAATCAACGATGCAAAACTCATTTACTAAATACATGCTTTTATACCTAACACTGAGACATAGTTTTATACATGGGTTATTGATACTGACTAGTTTCCTAACTCACTGTGGGAAGAGGTTCGAAAATAAGGCCTACTGTTTGTGTTATATTCCTAACGGATAATAAATGGACGGTAACTTCTGGAAATTATTTATGAACCATTATCACATATATTCCTATTGGATAACTATTAAGTACCTATATTGTATGTGTATTCATATTCCTTTTATTATAAGCTCCCATTTTACTTATTGACTACTATTACACGATTTAGGATTCTTAAGTTATTCCAAATCTATTAATAACAGTCTCTCACACAGACGCATTTGGCCTGGTCTTTTATAAATATTATTTTCGATTTTATGGTATGATGTGTTCTGGTTTCTTTGTATATAAATCCTGTATGTCTGAAATAGATGATTCATACAATGGAAGATGAGATTGTGTTTTGGACTCAAACAGACAGCGATAGGCGAGAAGATCCAATAAGGACTCAGAGTTGACTCCAGACTGCTCGTATTGGTTAAGAGTCATTGGTTTGGCACATTGCCAAAGTCATATAATTCGGTGTTCTATCTGTGATCTTATCACGTGATAATTACCAGGTCCATAAGAACAAAACAGATTGAAAATGAAGTACTCTAACTACCCTTGATATGTTGGATAGAGCGAACCAAGAATTAGCTTCTCCATTATCATTTTACAAATATATATATATATATATATATATATATATATATATATATATATACTCCAAAGTATTTAACAAAACTTAATAATTTTGTGTAACCCAGGGGTAAATCCCAATAGTCTTATTTACTTATACTTAAATTACATACCGAATAAAGTGATCATATTGTGACGCCATGTTAGTTTTTTCTGAAACCCGTTGTTGTACTCCTATGTTATGTTCGGTATTATTTTAGTCTATTAGAAATAAAGAAACAACTTTCATACGATAAAGTGAGTAGCCATAAAAATTCGTTTGACTCAATTTATAGTAATTTAATTATAGTAAAGTGTAATTATGCTTTAAAATATTGTGAATGATTTTATGAAATTTCTTTTACGATAAGGCTTAAGCATCCTTTAGTCCTTTAACTTGAAAGAGAAACTACTTAACATGATTTATATGAATAAAACTTTCAAGCGTTTCACAAGAGCTTATAGTAATGTATTGACCCTTAAACTATTCTTCATACATACCATTTTCTAAGAAATAAGAACATATTTTCTGCTTGTAGGTTGAACGACAATATCTTAAATGTTAAACTTTGATTCATTTAAATATACTTTTCACCCCATAACTTGACTATCAAATCTTATTTTAAGCTTCTTCATTGTTTTAGCTTAATTAAAATATAAAATCTGACAT